GTCAAGACCGATTGTGTATCACGGTACATAACTCCTGGAAATAAATATGGCTGTGCGAGAATGTTTCCTTAGACTTTCACTGATTCATCAGGCGGACGAACGCTGACAGCCAGCCAGCCCAGTATTTATTTGATCGATGGATAAGAACTCACCACGTCGTTCAGTGTTAGCAATACCCTGAGAAACGCGGTCGACGACTTTAATTACACCAAGACAATTCTAACTCTGTGTGTGTGCGTGTGTACATGTGTATTGTCGTTCTGCTTTGCTCGTGTGTGTGTGTGTGTGTGTGTGTGTGTGTGTGTGTGTGTGTGCAGTGACTTTGAGAATCTGTTTGACGTTGACCATTTCATCGAGTCGCTGAAAGGTGAATTGCACATAATAAGAGAACTACCAGCTCATATGAAGTCATGGCCGATATTCTCACTTGATCCAGTGAGTTGGTCTGCATCCGGGTACTATACGCGAGTTGTACGGCCACTTTTGAGAAAGCACAAGGTGAGTGTGCACTTCACTTGCCATACTTGTTGCATACAGTTTTTGTCTTTCCCTTTCCCTACTTTTTTATATCGGGTTTCCATTGCTTTTTGGAGAGTTCATCGAACTTCGTTGCTTTGGACTGCGTTGCTTGAGCAAGTACTTCTGACTTTGTTTACGTATATGACGAATAAATCTCTTAATAAGTAAATAATGACATATTTTATTCACATAAATCAATTTCGATTGCTTTATATTTCCTATGTTCAGTATATGGTTATTATTCATGTGAATAAAAACTCTAGTATAAAATGCCTAGCTCAGTTCGTTAGGATGCAAATGGCATTCAGGATGTCCTGGGTTCATTCCCTGCTGCCCTCCTGGGCAAGCTTGGTGCCAACCAACTGAGGTAGTAGGCTTGCTCCTCTTGGTCGGTATTGGCAGGGTCTTTGGCCGTTACGTGTGTGTGTCTGTGTGGTGGTGGGGGGGGGGGGGGGGGGGGTGCATGCGGTGTGTAGGGGACTGCTACTGGTAGTCATAGACACTGCTGTTAATAGATGGGGTTGGGGGAAGTAGATGGGAGGCGCAGCTACTGGCCAAATCCCCAGTCTTTGCGTTCGCAGGTCCCCTCCACGGACGGCCGCACCCTACTCCCTGAGCACTCGTGATTAGGGCGGGGGGTAACGTGCATCCCCTTGATTGTGAAAGGTAGATATGCTTGCAGGGGTCCCCTTTATAGGCTCAGGAGTAGTGGTAGGGATGTAGCGAAAAGTGAAACTGCGAGAAGAATGTAACTTACTTTAACTTCGTAGCCAGTAGTGAGAAAGACTGCGAGGCTGATCAGGACCAGTCTCCAAGGAATGACGTGTGGAGAGTGCAATTACTAATTACCTGCCATCCCTCCCACGCCTACAGTGGTGGCCACAGTCTATGAACATAACCACCTATTGTTTTGGATTCAACTGACCCCATGAGTGAGTGAGAGAGAGAGAGAGAGAGAGAGAGAGAGAGAGAGAGAGAGAGAGAGAGATGGATACACTGGTGCGTGGATACTGATGGATTGCTGTAGAAGTTTTTTGAGCGCTCACTGTTTATGCACAAATGCAGGTTCTTCGCTTGAAAAAGGCGGACTCGAGGCTCGCGAACAACGCGCCGCAGGTGTCGCAGGAGATCCAGAAGTTGCGCTGCAGGGTGAATTTCAACGCATTGCAGTTTGTCAAACCGATCCGGGATCTGGCAAATGCAATTGTGCAGAAGCTGAGAGCGAATGGACCGTTCGTTGCTGTTCATCTTCGGTATGAGATGGATATGCTGGCATTTACTGGATGTTCACATGGCTGCTCCGGCCCAGAGAAGAAAGTGCTCAAGAGGATGAGGTAGGTGTCAGATGAAGCCTCTTCCCTCTTCTCAATGTTCTTACAATGCCTCGTACTGTCTCATTTTTCTCTCTCTCTATATATATATTCTCTTTACAAAGGGAACAGCGGGTCTTGCGTGACGCTCCGCAAGCCTGAGCGCCCTGTGTTGGGAAAGGCCCACGCGCGTCGTAGTTTCATCCCCGCTCATGGGAGTTCAAGGTCGTGGCGGCGTTTTGTTTCCATTCTCACGCAGCTCTTTCTTTTCTTTCGCGCCCGTGGGAGTTCAAGGCCGCTTCCGTTCGCACCGTTCGAATAGAAGTTCATAGCGTGCATGGCTGGAAAACTCTCTCTCTCTCCCTTGGGCGGTGACTTCCTAGGCCGTGTGGCCTCCCAGCAACCGGTACCTAATTGCAGGCTCTGATATCGTCCGGTCAGGCCCTAGACTCAGGCTACTTGGACTGGTACGGGCCCACCTCTAGCCTACCGCTACTGGGCCTCTAAAAATGCCAACCTTTGTCTTCTTCTGCTCGGCCTCCAGTACCTGACACGTCGATCACTGCTTGAGTGGTACCAGCCTACCTGCTTCTTGAGTGTTTTTCCCGCTGCTCTAAGTGTTGCGGGCCTACCCCCACTACTTGAGTGTTTCTTCCCGCTGCAACCCTCAAAAGTCACGGCCACAGGTAAGCTCCGGCCCTGCGGGGCCTCTCAACCAACAAGTACCCCTTGCGGGTCACACACACACTCAGGCCGACAAGCACTCAGACAAGCACGCAGACCAGCAGGCACACACACACACACAGACTTAGAAATCGCAGCAGAATGTGGGAATCTCAGCAGGCATACATTTCCCAGAAATCAGCAGTGTTCTCTGTGTGTTTTGGCGGGACATTACATGGCAGTGATGATGGTATGGGTTTCAAGACAAAGGGGTCAGTTTTTTTAAAGGTCGGGGAGCGTGGTGTGCAGACTGCTGTTTAATGTGCGACAGACAACAACGTTAAAGGTATTAGTGTTGGGAAAACGGAATAAATACCACCCTCCTAAAAAATTGGAGGCCGGGCCTGACGACGGTTGCCGCTGATAAATCTCATCGGCGGCCGTCTTACGGTTTTGGTCTCCTTGAGACTCGGGGCCCCGTTGGCAGCCCACATGGGAAAAGGTAGTGGTGGTTTAAACATGGATTTTCTATAAACCAATGGATCGTGAAAAATCTTTATATGGAGTTGGTCAGGATTTGAACTCGTGCTCTGTTCGGCTGATAGTTACATCAACTCACACGTGTCACGTGTATTATAAGTCTTTTATATTACTTTTATACCATGCAGGCACACGGGCCAGGTATGTCGATGCGAGTCATAGTTTACCACGACTGTGATGCTCTCTGCTCTGTTGCCACTTTGCTTGGTCTCGCTGTTTGAGTGAAAATGCCGTGCCCATTTTGTGATGGATTTGGCGTTTTGAAACGGTCACCTGCCTGCCATGTGATGATGGCCATACCCAGCAGGAACAAGCTCTACGATTGCTGACTGTAACATGTGTTTTCTGTGCCTCTGTCTGTCTGTCTGCCTGCTGCCTGCCTGCGATACTTTGGCAGAATGCAGAATGATGAATTAATGCCCGGTCTGTGCGGCTGAATTGTACAGCGATGAATTGCTAATAACCGGACCTGAGTTCACATTTCAAAACCTTTTTTTTTTTTTTTTTTTTTGAGCTGAATTCAAAGCCTGATGCAAACAGATGAGTTGAATAAGTTTATAACTCATGGGGGGCGGGAAGTGCGGCAACAATACCATCGAGGCTGTCGCCCTTTGTGAACAAAATGAAACTGGGCGTCCTCGGTGACATCCGTTAAAATTGGAATGATACAGAGAAGACTAGCATGGGCCCTGCACAAGGATGGCACACATAAATCGAAAAATGGTCCCCAAAAAAAAAGGAAAAAAAGAAAGAGGGCCGGGCAGTTCGACGATGATACCATCGAGGCTGTCGCCCTTTGTGAACAAAATGAAATAGGGTGTCCTTGGGGAGACCCTTTAAAATAGGGACGATACAGAGAAGACTAGCATGGGCCCTTCACAAGGATGACACACATAAATCGAGAAATGGTCGCAAAAAAAAAAAAGAAAAGAAAAGGGGTCAGTTCGACGACAGTACCATCAGAACCATCCAAGACTCTGCATCGTACTCTGCGATTCCCCAGAAAAAAGCTGTAATCACTAGCTGCCTGCACAGAATTTACCAAATGACTTCTGAGGTGGAACTGACGGGCGTGAGTTTACTTACCCTGAAACGATTACTTCGACTGCAAGGCTACCCAGGTAAGTACTTCAATGAATGCCTGAGAAAATTCATACGTACTAAAGCCCCGTCATGGGACAAATGGGGAAAAAAGCTCTGTGGCTGGTAATTTCTAGTACCCTCATCTGCGGGCTGTTCTGATCTGCTGAGCCCCAACCAGATTTCCAGCCACGATTGCTTTTGGATCTACTTGACTCAAAGAGGAGACTTTCCCGGTTTTTTCTTCAGGGGAAGACTCTTGAGTGTAAAGCGGTTTTTAAACTTCGGCCATTCTTACTGGAATAGAGTTACCGCGTTTTTTCTTGTTTGTCTTTTTGCTAGATCTTTAGTTAAAAAGTTTTTGATTTACAGGCTACAAACAACACCGAGGCGGAAGCTGAGATACTGCGTTTGTCCTTTGTTAGATCTTTAGATATAGGGTTTTGATCTACCGACTACGAATAACTACAGGCCTTACTCGTTTTTGCTGAGTCCTTCCTGGAAACTGACCTATAGATGGCGGGAATACAGAGCCTAGCCCGATTTCTTTTTCCTGAACATGCGGACTACGATCTGAACGTGGGATTTCTGTTTTATTTCTGTTTTATCTCCGCAGCTTAGGATTTTCACGTAATCCCGCGGATAATTCCGACGCCAAGAAAAGTGATACTCCTGCCCTGGACCAGTTTACGAAGTTACCGCGCCTTGAGTACAGGATACGAAAGACACGACAGCGTAACTCGTTTTTTGGGAGTACTGCCTGTGGACTGACCTCAGCTTTCCGTATTTTTTCGCGCCAAGAAGGAGAACTTACCTCAGTGGTTTACTAGCTACGTGATGCCTAGATAGAAGTTACATTTGCTACTATTTAAGAGAGAGGGCTTTTCCTTTCTCCTACCTCGGATACTTACCCCTCCTGATGAGGCTAGAACTGGCTCTAGCCGAAACCGGTCGAGGGAAGCCAGACAGCCATCACCAGGGTTAGCCTGGCTATGGCT